TATCAAAAAAGTACTCCAGAGTGTTGTTCAGCATGGGGGTGAGTAGAAAATGAAGGCTAATCATGTTTTGGGTGTACTATTCCTTTAATACTGAATTCCCTAAATATTTAATCCAAAAGCAGGCACTTAAAAGCACAGATGCACACATAAATTATAATCAGACCAAAACAATGAAAAAAAAGTGTATGCAGTGTGATGCTTTGGTCTAAAAATGGACTCATCTCTGCAGCTGTTTAAGTAAACAGTAAAACAATGGAAACATCTCTAGAATGCTTATGCACATTATTCTTCAGGCTGTTTTAAATTTCTAAAACACCCCCAGCTGTTCAAATGTTATGTAGAAGAAATAAAAAGAAAAGGAGTTTGGAAAGAAGTGTAAAAGGATTAAGTTTGGGCCACAAATCAAAGTCCAACAAGTCAAAAGAAAAACAATATCCTTCCCAATCTCCCTTCCTTCCTTTTATGATTTCCTTCATTACCTTTTAATGGTGGACATTTATAAGAACACGTTGCTGCTTTTACACAATACTGAAGATTTAAAATGACATCCGTCAGGATGAGACACGCTTGATGTCAAGTCAAACATGACCCACACCAGCCTTGCAGAAAGCCATAAAGGGCATCTTTTGCCAGATAAGGAGCTAAATGCATAATTGTAGTGGGAGTTCGGTTCTGTTGACACATACCCATCCCTCTTCAGAAGCTTCTGAGAAATGCATCCAGCTGCGTGTTGCCTCCCTTACGCTACTCCCCTCACATACACTCACTCAAACACAGTGTCTGGCTTGGCACATCTGTCATGTTGACACAGCTGTGGCTATGAAAGGGAGAATGTTGCTCCAAGCGGTAGACGCTCTGTATTTTTCCTTCGCTCAAGTATAAGAAATAAGAAATACACTCTTACACTGATGTCAGACGCCCAGATGGCAAGAACCACTTATCAGTTAAAAGCTGGGCTATATGATTAACATGCTTGGGGAGTGTTGCAAGGTATGTTTGACCTGAAGTGGACAGTATTGCCATCTATGGATTCATTCAATTCAATTCAGTTTATTTCTATAGCGCCAATTCACATCATGTCATCTCAACGCACTTTACAGTTCACTGGATCATCCAGTCAAAGTGATTCAAAGTTTTCTATCTAAGGAAAACCAGTTGATTGCATTGACTCATTGACTCAAATACAATCCCTCACACTAAGCATGCTTGTAGCGACAGCGGAGAGGAAAAACTGCCTTTTAACAGGAAGAAACCTCCAGCAGAACCAGGCTTGCACCCTTAAAAAGAACTAAAAAAAAAAAAAAAAACACATAGATTTTCCCTTTTGTGCAACTTTATTAAACTAAATCCACGGTTCAAGCATACAGCATATATAGTTTTTTTTCTTTCTTTTAAGATACACCCAGATCATCAACTTCCCATCATGCATCGTGTCCTCTTAAAGGGGTATCATTACAGAAATGTATGAAATACAAATAAAAATAAAAAGAAAGCAGTTTGAGCACATATTTAGTCATAAACCAAATGAATTTTACTAACTCAATAATAAATCAAATAAACTCTTGTCCAATATGATAATTATAACTAATTTTAACTTTATTACGTTCTACACTATTCTATTTCTAGGGCTCTACACTCTCCCCTACTAAAATAATAAAATGTTTTCAAAACATTTTCACACTTTAAAACTTAAAGTATATATCCTTACTACTAGCTTCTAACATTGAACTCATCCAGGTACCATTTAGCACTAGATGTCCCGGAGAATTTCAGTTTTCCTGCAAGCCCCTCTCCCCTCTTCAAGTTTGTGTATTCACACTACCTTGCTAAGTGTCTTTGTTGTAATGCTAATAACCTGTGATGTGACTAGCCCTTTTCCAGGAGACTGGGGCCCCGTCCACGCGAAGTCAAAACGAACAGGAATCGCTAATATTTTCCAGAACATTTGTCGTAAAGACGGAGACGTAAAATAAATGTGATCGTCCACACGAATGCATGAAAACGCTGCAAAATGTATGC